TATTTTGTTGGTTTAACTTAAAAAAGTCAGGTTAACTTGACATTTTGAGTTCATTGAAATTAAACATTTGAGTTGATACAATGAAGGAGATTGGTTTAATCAACAGAAAATTAAAATATTATGTTGTCTGAACCACACTAATTTGACAAAAGAAAAAAAGTTGTGATAACAAATCATGATTTTTTTTTACAGTGTTTCTATCCTAAATGATCCTATCTACTCAATCTAAAAAAAGCAAAAGAAAAGTGAGAATAGTAGCATATGCCAAACCTAGTAAGAGTCGCAGTAGGTGCAACTGGGTCTTGTTTCATAATTATATGAGTGAGAACAACACATAACATCTTCAGCACAGCTTTTAACCATCAAAGCACGACCCGGAAGACCAGATTGGCTGACGCACGGCTACGTTGCAGCAGCCCCACTTTGTGCCTCAAGTTTCGCTGTTTCCAGCCAGAGAGAGAGAGAGAGAGAGAGAGAGAGAGAGAGAGAGAGAGAGAGAGAGAGAGAGAGAGAGAGAGAGAGAGAGAGAGAGTACGATGTGTCAGACACTACACCACGCCGTAAGTCACTGAAGAAAGATCCTCAGCGAACGAATTCTGGACCGACGCTTGCCTGTCAGGGAAGGTTGGCATCGCCAGCTATAGAGAAGACTGTGCCCGGAGCTTCAGCGCTTCGCAAAGCGCAACGAATCACCGATACTCTTCCCTCAAAGACGGTGCCACACGGAATTGGCCCCAGGACACATTTCTATGCTAAATGTCAAGAGAAGAGTGCCTAATCGTAAACACTGGTAAGATGCGTTTTGCGTAGACTATATCATTCGACACAGCGAGCGTGAAGTCGAGTAATACGAAGAGATTATTCACGCGTTTTAGTGAGGTAAAGAGTAAAGAGAACTGTTAGTCCAAAATAGGTTTATTATGTACTTAATTCCATCTAAAAAAAAATCAAAAGAGTTTATTTTAATTTTATAGCAGCTTATAATGGTTTATAATAAAACAAAAAAGATACAATTATGAATTTGCATGCCTGAATAGAAATAATAATAATTTATTAAATACAAAAATACATATTGTGTTTCTAAATCCGTTATCACTGTAGACTAGGCTACTGCAGGCATTTCGGGTTATAAGAAATGAAAAACAGTGTTATAGCCTACGTTTTTCGTATAGCTCAAATATATAGTCACAAGTGCTAATAATATGAATATGATATTATACTATTTAAAATATTATTACTTATTTTACATTTATTAAAAGGGACATTGTTAACTATGCCTTTCTCTTTTGTAAACATGTTAAAATAAAATCCAAATTAAACAGACCAAAATGCAATAGCCTACATTTACACCGCATACAATATAGCTACAAAACATATTTATTAATGAAACAATGCATGAAATAATGACCATTTAAGAGATTCATGTGGAAATGTATGCTTGTGTTGATACGATTTTGTTATTTAACAAACCAATAACACAGCACACGTTACGAAAATCATTTTCCGCCAACGTTTTCAAATGGGAATTTGAATGATTATAAATGTGAAAGCGAGTGTGGCGTGGGTGAGTTGAGGAATTAGCTTTCTCGGGAATGCCCCAAGCACGCCTGCATTAGCCCACCTGTGCTGTTTATTTAAATCATTGACTCCAAGAGCTGTCAAGCACAAAAGAAGGGCGTGCGCGCTGTCATCACCCATCAGATTTATGACCGATCATTTTCTGACTAAACAAATGCCATCACCCAGAAGAAGAACTTTACCCAATATGTCGCGCAAGACATAAACCATGCGCGTTAGAATAAACGCAGTAAGGGTCGTTTAATACTGAGAACGCATGCACACATATGAGACTTCGCCTCAAAATAATGTGGATTGTTGTTTGAAATAAAAAGAGGGTGAGACGCTTTGCTTTCAAACCCTGTTATTCATGCTTCAGCAGAGGACAGGAGGCTTGTGACTTTGCCTGTGCTTGTGTCTGCCCCCGAGTGCCCTGTCACAATCTAATTACCCGTGAGTAAAGGACAATACCGCTTCAGCTGGTCTGTGTCATTCCCCCTATATCCCAGTGCCTGCTTATCTTCACAAACCCTTCTGCGCCGCTCTCTGCCCCCTCCTGCCCTCCTTTAACCCCACGGAGAATGATAAATGCGCGGTAAGGGAACGAACGGCCAAAGCCATTTCACGGCACCTGTTAATTAAGGGAATGATTGACTCCGTTTTCGCGGAGCTTGTTTCCACCATTATTTTTTGATGCAATTAATTTAAAGCAAAGTATAATGTGACATCACAAACATGATGTCATTGCCGTCGTCACAGTCACACGTGTTAGACGACACCACTTGTGTTACATAAGAAAAAAAGTCTGAATCTTCACACGCATTTAAAGAAGAGTGGCCCACTGAGTTAGAGTCCTCAGTCGGGTCAATCTCTTTAGTAACACCCCCCCGACTTTAAATGTTAAGTGCCTAAAAGGACAGTCCCTTTTGTTCTAACGTCGAGAGCACCTGGATTACCACAGGTATTTAGTTCAGGTATTCTCTAAAGAATATTTAGCCCTAGGTGAGCTGAACCAAGATTAGGCAAAAACTAGCAGTAGCGCACGCACGCACACACACACACACACACACGCACGCACGCACGCACGCACACACACACTCGTCTAATTATATAATAAACATGTATTGCCACATTTACACCACAAATGCGGCACTATAGCTGCATGTAAGGTGGCATAGCCCACCACTAAAAGATACATTTACATGGTTTAATGCACACAGCGGCAGAAAATGAATTTACATATTACACCGAAATTACAACAGAACAAATGTTATGAAATAATCAAAATATTTCAATATTTGTTTTTCAGATATTGAATATTTTATTTCTCATAAGGGATGAGGCGGGTCAGAGCAGGAATATTACAGTTTGGCTTTTATATGCCACTGCGTTTATACACAAAATCAGTGTAAATATTTGTGAAAAAGCCTATTAAAGACGTCGTGTTGCGTTTCATTAGCACATAAAGCTATGCCAATGTGAAAGAACACTGTATACGCGTAGCCTATGTGTAAAGGTTTATATCAGCTTCCATTTATATCTGCATAATCTGTAGCACCTTTTTGATGTAAGACTGTGTATAAAATGCATCATTACACAGCAAAACCAAGCGTCATATTTTATTGTATATTCTAATTTGTTGGCTTCAGGCTGGGCTCTTTGTGTTGTGTAGGGCCCCTGGCAGGAATCCAGTCCGTTAAAGAGGGATTTAAACATCTGATATTGTCACACAATAAGGCCAAATAGCCTGTTTGAGCATCTTTACACATCCAACGTTGACAGAAGCTCTGTGGTTTAGGTGCTCAATATTATTGTCCAAATTGATTATTCGCTTTTCAGCCAGACCAAAACTCTCACCAAAAAAAAAAAAAAAAAAAAAAACTCATCCTCTTATGATGGTTAGCTATGTGATTAGATGAAAACATATGAAAACACACTATGCCTATACTAGACATTAATACCCAGTGTATTACACTGTAGTTGTAGATAGCTGTGGAAAAGTCTTTGCAGCGCGTCTACATCTTTCTCTTCTTTCCCGAGATACTGTGACATCAAGTCATGGCGTCAGAGTGGCGGCCGATAGGGGCTCTGAGCTCGCGCTTCAATTATTGCCTTTCAATCTTCAGACTACAACTCCTGCTTTAAATAATAATAAAAATAAATAGCCCTATTGTCAGAGAGACATCCTACCATTATTTCTAGGATAAAATGTAGCCTATAAAATCAGTTAAAACTCAATTTCTCATTTTTTTTTAAAACCGGTTCTTGGCTAGACATGATCTGTAACTCCATCAAGAAAACAGAATTACCACAACAGTGTCTTTCTCGATAGATGAAAAACGAGCCGGAGCGCCCTGGTAGTGGTAGTCAAGTCTATCTTGTGTTATCTTTGATTGATCCAACCAGACAGGTTAAATAATTAATATACACAAAGCGTTATACAAGCAGTTAGAGGCCATAGAAGTAGATATCTAAAGGAGCACGCTGCTATATCCACTATAGGCATATTACATATTTTGGAAGGAGTGTTTATTTAGGCTATATTAGATTATTTGAATTGGAGCTTCCATGAAATGCTCATTTATTTAAACGAATTTAAAACGCGTGAAATTGGAAATATAGCCTTTTTTGACTGGATAGACAAGCACATTTTATGTTTAGCCGCAACAATGTATTAAACCCTATGTGCACAATGAGGTCTTCAGTTGACTAACCTGTATCCACAGTTTATCTAAACGCTTATCAAGCTAATTGGCGTCGTTCTGTCTTCCTGCCTGCGGTGGGTGAGCCTGATGCTTGTTTTGCCATGAGATAATTGTAAGTAAGAATCAACGAAGCTGCCCTAATGGCCACCAATTGGCTCAATTTGGACCTGCCCATGCGACCTGTCGGCACCAAGGAGACACGGACCCGCTATTAATATGTAAAGTAACGTTTGATCGCTCGAAACGGCATACAAAGACAGTTTTCACAAGAAGAATGTGGTGAGAACTAATTTAAAACAATTACACGCGCAAGAACAATAGCCTCGAATTTAAGGACCATAAAATACTCCTCCCCAATTAATGCCCGAGGTGTTAGGAATCGTGTTTGTTTGCATTAGGCATATGTGACACTTCACTGTTACAGGTTTTGTTGTTTTAAGCAATGTTAAAATGTTAATGGTCAGGCAACAGGTCTTAATCACAGTAGGCTATTAAGTTCTTAAACAAAAGTTTATGATAACTGCAATAAACCATTTTGTTTATCAATAGCATAGAAAAAATTAAGTAGGCTAATTACATGCACTGTTCATTAATTTATGCTTAAACAAAAAGTAGTCTAACCAATGTAATATTATTATTCGAATAAAAAAAGGAGTATTTTTGTCTTGATAAACGGTCTGAGTCATTCTTACATTCTTAATTTCAGGTCATTCTGTTAGTCTTTGAGTAAAAAGACAACATTATTACATCATCATCTTGAAGCTCTAAGAAAGGTAAAAAGATCTGAATAAATTGCTCCGCTGAATGATGAGTCTCTCAGCTCTCTGAATGTGGAGCACTAGGCCGATAGTCGCCGTGGCAGTTTGGAAAGCATGATGTTCGAGCCAATGACAGTCAGCGCGATCTGCTATTGGTTAACAGAGCGATCCCTGCCAGCCCGTGACCCCGCCCATGTTCGTAAGATATGGAATCTACTGGCGCCAGTTCCGACAGTACACAGGCACAATTCATTAACGAGACTTCTCTCCGCTTCACATAGACGCAGAGTTTTAGAGAGTTTAAAGATTGGGCTGTGGACAATTTAAACCAGTGGCGAATTATGAATGTCAACAGACATCTTGAGGATTAAAATTCTTTGCACAGGACTAACACGGGGAAAAAAAATAAACTGAGGATTGTAGTGCTGAAATGCTACTTCGCGCCGTAAGTACTTGCACTATACCGATAGTTCTTTAAAATTGCGCAGTTGAGCTTCTAATGAAGCGACTCATTTTAAGTTGCAATAGCGTATTTCGATAACGTGAAGATTCTCTGTTCTAATTTAAATCTGTCTTGCAATACATTTAACGTTAAAATTGAGATGCATCTATTTGTTCACTTACAGGTGTTCCTGATCATTCTTGAAAGCAAAGAAGCAGGACCTCTTCTCCAAAAATAAGGGCATAGAAAGTGAACAGAGCATCACCAACTGAAGCAGAACGCCAAATATCGTAATAATCTAAAGGACCTGGGTCTCTAAGTGTCCAAAAGGTTTTCAGTAGGCATCTAGAAAACTTCTTTTTAACGTTTTCTAAGCGCGGACACTTCAGACATGGAGGTTGCGGCCGATCAGTCTCGATGGATGGCCCATCATCATGCGGTACTCAACGGCCAGCACCCAGAGTCACATCATCACGGGCTTACACACAATTACATGGAGCCCATGGCCCCTCTTCTTCCCCCGGACGAGGTGGATGTGTTCTTAAATCACTTGGACTCGCAGGGGAACCCCTACTACTCCAATTCTCGGGCCAGAGTATCATACGGACAAGCGCACGGTATGATTACTCTTTATGTCAAAAATTCTCTCGCATGAAGTAGGCTACTTATAATATTTTAATGACAAAATGTGTAAAGGTTATCTTGTACATATTTCATTATGTAACTAATTTCCGATAAATATTTCAGTCACACTTTACATTAATCATGAATGAAAATAAACTAGGCCTATAGGCTATGTGAATTAATTTATAAAGCTGCTTGAAATAATACTGTTATTGCTAAATTATTATTTATACTTAAATGTGTTACGAACAGTTCAATGCAAAATGTTGCTCATATTTATGGCGAAAGAGAACAGTTGTTTATGTTTTTTTGGTGTGCTTAAAGAAGGTTTAGTCAACAAACTTGACCTTGTCGACACCATTTATGCCCATTTTGTGTCAGTTATAGGCTACTGGTGTTACTTTAGTAGCCTACAACTGCGTTGTGCGTGTAGACAGTGTAAAACCGAAAGATTTAGATGTTTTTTTACTCACTTTGAGGTGAATCCTATGCGCGGCCTAAATGCGGGACTGTCCCATGGGCTCGATGTCTCGAGGCTTAACCAAAATATGTTAATGTAGGCTTAATGTTTATTATTTATACATTTATTTATTTATTTATTTTCTGTTGTTTTGCAAAAACGTTATGCATATGTGCAGACACCAATTAGCCGAGCAAAAGGATGACAAAAAATGCGTTTAAAATGAAAGATATCGGATTTCTTCTCTGCGGTGCGAACTGTCATCTCCAAGAGGAGCGTGTTGAAATGTAAAGATAAGAAGTAAAAGAAAATGTCCAGTGAATGACTTGATGAGGAAAGGGAAGTTCGTGTCAGGGAGCAGGGAGAGAGAGGGGGATCAAGGCACTTCCCGGATGCCAAATCAAAACGAAAAATTCCTGATGAACTTCTTAGTTCAAGTGACTAATTTGTGCGACGAACAGGCTGTAGTGAGAATGCTTTGTTAAAAAAGTTGTCGTGTGTCGCTTTTGTAAGGAGATTTTCCGTCTGTTTCTTAGGAGTAAGTGCGTTTTTATTTTGAAAATCATGTCGAGACGAAGAAAAACATCTTTTAAGTGTTAGCGAGCAAACACTGGACTAAAGGGTGAATCGGCAAATGCGGTTTTGTACATTATTGATATTTCATATAATTTTATTTTATCTCAATGTCAAGTTTGTATTGTTTCAGTAGCCTAAGGAGTCAACAGGTGAGGTTGAACATTAGACATTTTGTTGTTTGAAAAACAAACTGGCGTTTCGGCAAAAACTGTAGAGATTTAGACATTTTGCTCGTAATTTTCATTTCGAATTGAGCTTTTATGTTCGTTTCTGTCTTGTATTTCTCAGCTCGTCTTACGGGAAGTCAGGTCTGCCGGCCACACCTCATACACAGTCCCGGGATCCCCTGGCTGGACAGCGGGAAGGCAGCGCTCTCCGCCGCGCACCACAACGCCTGGGCGGTCAGTCACTTCAGCAAGCCCGGCCTGCACCCCGCCAGCGCCGGCTACCCGTGCAGCAGTAGCTCCAGCACCGCTCCCGTCTCCTCCCTCACATCCGCAACACACTCCAGTCCACATCCCCTTTACAATTTCCCCCCAACCCCACCGAAAGACGTCTCACCGGACCCCGGTCCTTCTTCTCCGACCTCCACCACTGCAAGAATGGACGAAAAGGACTCCATCAAGTACCAAGTCATCGCTGATGGGATGAAAATGGAGGGATGTAGTCCTCTTCGGGGAAGCCTGGCAATGAGCGCCCAAACACCCTCCACGCATCATCCCATCCCGACCTACCCAACGTATTCCCTGCCCACTCCACACGAGTACGGCGGCGGGCTGTTCCATCCTGGTACCCTCCTCAGTGGATCCCCTTCGGGGTTCACACCTAAATGTAAAAGCAAGACGAGATCGTGCTCAGGTGAGTTTCTTTAGAGCTCTCTGACTCGATCATGAAGTGAAGAATAGATAGGCTACATTTACATTGGGTTGGATAACATTTTTACAAAGCATTTTTACATCAGTCATTAAAAATGTTACATTTACAAAATCTATAGCCTATGTAAAGTATAGGCTATAGCCTATGTAAATATCATATGTGTAGGATTTTTTTTGTGATAGGCTATTTGAAAATAATTTAATTTAGCCATAGGCTATAGCCTACAAATGAATCCCCAGTGGTTTACTGGCCTAGATATTTCAATTTGCCATTATAACAGCTTTTATTTTCTTGGACACAACGTTTTAATCTAATTTGGAGTTTACTTATTTTGTTTTTGTCTAATTAAATGAGTTCGGCCGCCATTTTAGGAATCTCCCTCGAGGCAACTCTACACCACAGTTTTTAAATTATGACACGCCACAAGTTTCAGCAGCTCTTAAAATGCTACATCAAAATGCATTACCACTCAAAGGTGGCATTTCCAATAAAAATAGTGGTTATCATACATAAACTACAAACCCAAGCCAGCTGTTTAGTGAAAAAAGTCGATGGGCTATTTTTACGTATAGCCTTTTTACATGTTTAAATAAATTTAAAGAGGTGACCTGTATATTGCATTTTTCGAACACACTGAATTTACCTAATGGTGAAGAAAATTGAGATACAATTTGAGAAATTATAAAGTTGAAGAAACAAAAATGTAGGCCTCTAACATTGTGATAAAACATTTTAGAGCTTAAGGGATCCAGCCAAAAAAAGATTAAGATCATAACCCGATAAATAAATAACAAATAAAATAAAATAAAATATGAAAATGGCGCTTTTTTGGTGAGGTTGCAGACCTTTTGACATTAATTAGCATATTAAATGACACACAAACTTCTATATAGCCTATTTATTCCATGCAGATTCGATTTTTTTTCTTTCTGCGTGTTAGGTCTTAAGATGAATGATTTCATTTGGCGGGCTGCGTGTTGCCTCACGCTTTGTTTTCCTTTAAATGTAGCCTTAAAACGTTGAGGAGTCACGACGCGCTGGCTCCAGTCATATCCTGTATACCTTCAGTTGAACAAATCACGACATACTCCCCCCTCCGCCCTCCTACGACCCCAATACTAACAAAACCCCGGCGGGACAGGCCTTCACAGGCGACAGGACCCTGCTGTTTGTGTGCTTATTTATGCACGACGTCGGCCCGATGCACTGCTATCAAATAACATTAATTTGAACTATTGTTAATATGTTACAGTTACATTTTCTGACACATATTACATGCAATTATAATTGGATATTACATTTATATAGAAATAACAATATGTAAATACAAGATGCTTAATAAATGAATGAATAATGGATATGAATAATATACTCAATAACACAGCTAACCTATGAATGTAGAAAATGTCTATAGGTGGAATATATAGGTTAAGTTTATAGGTTTCAGTGCATTGGTGAATGGAACCAATTTTGAACTGCATAGTAATATTATTTATGTTAAATTAAATTAACATGATTGGGCATTGAAAGAAAAAAATATATTGATTTGTGAAAGGCAAATGCATAAATGAAACAACAACAAAAAAATTATAGATTTTTTTTTATTTTTTTTTTTTTATTTAATAATACAGGCTACACCTCTGATTTAGGTGAACCTCTACTATTCGCTATATTCGTCTTTTCGCAGGGCTGTTTTCACCTAACACTCCCAGCACCAAGTTTCAGTACATTCAAAATGCAAGTGAAACATTGAAAAAAGGGCTGAAAATTACTGAATTACAACATCACATACACTTCAAAAGAGCGTCCATTGTCCGGGCGTATTCTTTTCTCTGGTCAGGGTGGGACAGCGACTATCTCACATTATAATGTGAATAATAGAGAGGTGCTCAGGGGAGTGAGGAGGAAGAGCATATGAATTAAAGCGCAGGGCCCTTTCCAGCAGGTTAGGGTGCTTTACTGTGATATGACACCTGAGAATATAGGACAAGCCTGGACAGCTGGCTGATAAACAGGAGTGAGAATATATAACATGGAATTAACTCACACTTCTTCTTAAAGTGTCTTGAAAATGTTGTATATGCAAAAGCAGACTGATATTTAGGGTTCCCTCTATAGCAGATACATGAAAAGGTTGGTCTAATAAGAGTAGAACCTGGATGTATTCATTTTCCACAGTTATGCTGTGTAAAAAAAGAAAGAAATTTCATCCACACATGCACATTCATACATTTCGATATCAGTTATGTAATGCATCCAGTTCAGATAAGAGATCCCAATGTGAATGTCATGTTAGATGTTGGCTAATTAACTTGGGAGTTGTTTTTCTCTGCCCAGTCCGTGACCCCGTGTTCCTGTATTGTAGATCGAGTGTGAACTTCTTAATTATATAAATTTCCCTTTGCTTTCCCTCCACTTGAATTCTGCACAGAGGGGCGTGAATGTGTGAACTGCGGAGCCACCTCTACCCCGCTGTGGCGGCGGGACGGGACGGGCCACTACCTCTGCAACGCGTGCGGCCTGTACCACAAGATGAACGGCCAGAACCGACCCCTTATCAAGCCGAAGCGCAGACTGGTGAGTAGATCAGCGCTCTTTCGGTTCCTTACACACGTGAGAAAGAGGGCTAAATAGGAGCCCGGAGCAGAAAGCCTAAACACAATTCCAGGAAAGTTATATTTTCCCTATAATCTTCCTGGAATTGTTTGTCGCCCTCACCCCCTGGTGATCCCCTACTCTGCCTGTTACAATACTGCTACTATTGCCATTGTTCCCGCTATCATTATTGCTTCTAGTTCTGATACTGTCACTGATACCAATGCCCATGCCGGGACAATTATCACCACTCCACACTGAGGGAAACCTGTTGCTGCACTATTGCCTGAGCGCATCTGTTCAGATCAAGTAGTTTGATCCAGTTGTTCTTTTTCTGGCTGTGTTTAGAAAGCCACATGCCATTGGTTTTGTTTCGTGTGGCTGGCTTATGATTCTGGTTCCATTTTAGAATCGCTGCCAGCAGAATTATCTCATTTAATCTCGGTGAGACGAGATGCTTAAAAGCAGATTTTTGATTTTCTTTCTATCTTAATGGCTTTTTGCTTTGAGATGATTGATTGAAGGTTCAAGATTATTTAGCTGTTTCCCCATTGAGAAATCATTAAGATGTGTGAAAAGTCAAACTTGATTACGCTTTGGTTATTAATCTGCTGTTTTTCCATGGTTCAGGGCGGCTTGTATAAGAAGGCTCCTCTATGCTTTTTATTTAAATATAATTCATATCTCGCCAGGCAGGGGTGACAGTTTTTCCAACATCACGAATCTACGAAAACAGATGACTTTTGAAGAAAACAGGCAGGATATTATTTTCCCAAACTAGATAGATTTTTCTACCCACATAATCTTATTATATCGTCTAGCGGATGAAACTCTATATCTCTACCTCTGTCTCTTTACACTGTTATTGAGTCATTTTTGCAGTCTCTCAAAACGTGACGTAATATTATCATAGAGATTCATTTGGAGACACATGCAGCAAGCTGTTTAATTGAGTGAGAGCGTATTTTCTATCAGCCATGTGTAATAATTTAATTTTCACTTGGCTAAGTGACCATCAGAGTGTAAATATAAGAGTCTCAGAGGGAATCTTATTTCCAGTGTTGTAAAAGAGACACTTACATACTCAGCGAGAGAAAAATGAGCCTTGTAGCGAATAACAGAGTCACATTCAAATAGAAACTGAAATATGGATTGCAACTGCAATTCCCAATTATGATGATCATCATTATTATTTTTAGCAGTAGGCTATAGGTGTAACATACTGTAGCTGTTAGTTTCTCTATATGTTCTAATGGTGAAAAAAAGCCACAGGGTTTTCCATGGAGTCAGTGTGCTGGCCCATGCTTTTGCATTTTGGGCTGAAGTGTTTTCAGAGCGCTGTTCAAAGGCCATCCAGTTGTTTCCTATCCGGATATCTGCCCGAGCCCGATAAGGAAGCCAGGCTCCCGGGTGTTTCCGTCTTCAACAAACCCGGCTGAATTTTCTCTGGCCCCGGCAGGCCCGAATGACATCTACTGTAAAGCGATTATCAGAGCACTGTGTGTGAAGGGGCTGGGGCAGGGATTGGAAAATAAATGGATTTATACTCTTTGCTCTCTTGTTTGTCATGCTCGACTGGCACTGAGTTTAAGTATCGGAATGTGCGTGTTTTTGTTGTCGTCTGCGTTTTGTTTAATTTCTATTCAGAGCGGCGTTTTATTTTTTTATTCGAAGCTTCCTTTTACACAAACGTAGCTATTATGTAAATCGTTAATGAACACAAACTGCAAATGCTATACGCGTTGGACTGCGGGGGAATTGCGTTGTATGCCTATAGATGTTTCTCATTATGTGTGAAAAATTGATCCGTAATGGACAAAAAGCGAACAGAGGATTGATGACCCGGCTTTGCAGACGCCCCGCCCACTAAAGCGTTTGATTCGTGGCATCAAGGCGAGTGTATCGAAACGATAAAAATTAATGATCTGTACTGAAATATGGAAGCATTAGATACAGGTCAGAAAAAAGCAACAACAACAAAAATCTAACCAGGGCACAAATTGGAAAATTGAATTTAGCGTGTTTAAATGCACAGAACAGGCTATATTTAATTAGTCCAAACGGAGGCGAGTCCTTATAAGAGATTTAATATGTTCAGGCCGCATCGTTGCGGGATAGTTTTGAAATTATGTCTGGTGCAGAGTAGTAGCCTATACACATGGGTGAGTCATAATATTCGTCACCCCATCAGATTCTTATCATGGATGCCATTACTCAAAACCAAATCCGTAGGCCTAATGTCTGTGTCAGTGCGTTGAATAGAAATGCAGAATTGAGTTCATGCAGTCCGATTGCATTCAGTGCAATAAAAAAACATCTCAATAAAAATAAGACTATAACCCACGATGTTACAGTAGCCTAAAAAAAAAAAAAAAGGCCTAGGCCTATTATACATTTATAAACATTTATTATTATTAGGCTAATAATAAAGTTTCCACCAAGTAATATAGCCTAATGGATTAGTCTTTTTTACGGTTGACGAGCAACTGCACGTAATAATAACCAGGGTCATCCATTGAAGGTAAACGGAATTAGGCTATTCGTTTTAAAATGGCTACATCCTTTTTAGATGTCCATGAGATTGTTTTAAAATGTGGTTATGGATAATGTATGTTTTTAATGTAGTGTACCCAGTATTGAATGTGTTTCTCTTGCCTATACAGTCTGCTGCGAGGCGAGCTGGCACCTGCTGCGCGAACTGCCAGACAACCACGACCACTCTGTGGCGGCGCAACGGGAACGGTGACCCGGTGTGCAACGCCTGCGGGCTCTACTACAAACTCCACAACGTGAGTATTGAGAGTCGCAAACACTGAAAGTGACAGCGAAGTGCTCAAGTGGGCGGACAGCTTGTATCGATTGAAGAGAGGGTGAGAGTGAGACCGGTGACGCAAAGCCGGCTTTCCCTGTCAGACAGAGCCCGTTGACCGTTTTCTTTTTAGATTAATCCAGCTTTGTTTCAAAGGAGGGCGTTATTCCCAGGAGGGACGGCAGGGCGGGTCTGCCATTCAAGATACGGCGTCAGTTATAGGCTATCAATTCGGAGTTGTCTGAAACTAGCCTTTTTAATGTTAAGCTTGGCTGCGATCTATTTAGCAGACGAATAAATACATTTCACCTTAATGAAACAAGCGAAACAAAGGAGGGAAGAGAAAAAACGAAATTGCGTGACAGCTGAGCCGCTGAATTGCTTGGTTTTCGTCTGAAATTCAACACTAAAAGCATAATATTGTCTAGGCTACATTATAGCCACCCTCTGATGTATAATTTGTGTAAAATATTACATTTAATAAATGTAAATAAATGTTTAGCATAGGCTACAAGCCAAGTGTAAATTATAGGCTACAATGAATTTTATTGGAAATTTCGGGGGACATTTACAGATAATCACAAAACAGGTTATATATTTTATATTTGTATAGATATATATAATAAAATAAAATGGCAGACGAAATTCTCGATTGGAATCGTCATATAAAGATTCTAATGATCGATCGTGCGATCTATTGCTATGGTTTCCTCAAGCGAACGCGTTCTTTTCTCAAGCGTCCATTTAACTAACTTGTAACTTTTGTGTTTAAAAACCTGTTTGTAAAACATGTAGGCCTACTTTGAGACCTCATGTCCTTTTGTTTTTACTCCCTTTGTGCTCATCATTAACCTACCCTATCTCGTTTCTTACAGGTCAATAGGCCACTGACCATGAAGAAAGAGGGCATCCAAACACGCAACCGCAAGATGTCCAGCAAGTCCAAGAGGAGTAAACGATCTGGCGAGGGTTTCGAGGAGCTCTCCAAGTGCATGCAGGACAAGACCTCTCCGTTTGGCAGCCACAGTGCTCTGGCAAGCCACATGCCACACATGGGCCACCTGGGACCGTTTAGCCATTCTGGACACATGCTGCCCACGCCGACTCCCATTCACCCCTCTTTCAGCCACCCTCACCATTCCAGCCGCTCTCCCGTCTGGGCCGAACCTCACTGAAGACCCACACTCGCTCCTTTATACCGAAAATCTCAATGCACTCAAGAAATCTCCCCTCCCGTCAAGAAATCTTCCACAGGCGAGGGACGCGAAGAGGGTTCGTGTCGGTTTAGTTCCTGGTCGGACACTGCAGAGGAAGGTGCCATTTCATCAACAACCACGTCAACTTGTATAGAGGACGGTTTAAAAAGACTCTGAGGACCCTCACAGACAGAGCAGAGGGAGAGAGAGACAGAGAGAGAGAGAGCTGTCTTTGCTTTTAGCCTTTCGTTACGTTTTACTGAGTCACTTTGGTACTGTCCTGAAAGAGAGGATATGTCTTTGCAGAATCACTGTGTGGAAGTTCCTTTGAGAACAGCCGCCTCAGAAACTCTCTAGTAAAGAACTCGCTCTGAATCTCTGCGAACATGATGAGTCAAAGAGAGAGACAGAAAGAGAAGACCACTAAGTTTATCCCTCCTAACATGCTGGAATACACCCCCCCTCCCCCTCCCCCTCCCCCTCCCTTGGGCATGATTCCCTCTGAATGGACTCTATGGATACGACATAAGCAAAGAAATGTTTATAAAGGTTAATTGTTATTATCGTTATTGTTATTATGATAATTTATTTTCACCTTTTATCTCTTATTTCGCTTTCCTCAGAACACATTGTTATATTATAAATATTATTTGATTGTTATTGATAAAAAAAAACACTGACCTATCCTAGCCAAGGCAATGTTGCTGAGCTGTACGTTTTTATCATTTTCCATTAAACAAATAAAGGAAATAAAGTTTTAATACTTCATCTTTTCCCCCCCCCGAGTACTTTCTTGCTAACGTTCTGCGAAAGGCACAGTCGCTCTTCTCTTAAATGGAGACATTTTTGCGGCTACAGGCCGGATTGATCATTTATGTTTCCGATTCCAGGGCATCGTATTTCCCAGCATTTACTGTAGTTTAATATGAGAAATGCACACGAATGCCAAAACATGCACGAGGCCAAACACAAACACACCCAAGCGCTCGGATAAGCTGCTGTTCCGTACACCGAGTGTCAGAGGGAATTTCAGCAAGGCATCGCTGAGTCCTAAGGTAAGCGGTATCAGATGCACATGCTAAGTGCCTGAACTGCAGTGTGTCTGGGTTTGTTCTGTACAACTGCGGCTGGGGAAGAAGGAGACCTATATGGCATACATAAGCCCCCCGGGGTGCTTCAATTTGACCCAGACAACAGGCTCCAACCACTGGTCCAGTATGTGCGGTTCCAATCACATGCAAATGCACAGAGTCATACTGTACAGAATGCATTTAGATGGACGAATTTGTTGTCCCCGTGTCCTCCTTTTCAACTGACCTACTCAACCCCCTCAGTTCTGGCTTGTCTTTCTGGAGCCAAAGGAAAAGTAAGCAAAAGGACAGCTTACTTTTTTTTTGGTGGTAGAGAGAGAAAAAGAGAGAGGGAGAAGAGGAAGGAAAGGCAATCAGTCGAGTCCATGAACAAACACGTGGGGGGCAGTTTGGAGCCTTCTCCCACAGATGTGCTCGCAGCTGAGGCTTGCAGGAAACAGCTCTTAACCTGGTCTCATTTTCAAGCTATTTAACCCAGTGCAGCGACTGAGGAAACCATCAGCCCAGCCAACAGTTAATGAGAGAGACCCAACAACAGCACAGAGCATGCTGACGAGGGCCGACTTCAGGTCAACACCGACTCTTGCACAAGTGCAGATGCCCATCCCCCATCCAAATAATCACACACCCCTCTTTCTATTCTATTCTATTCTATTTTATTCTATTCTATTCTATTCTATTCAAACTGCTGTCAAATTGATTCATCACGATTAATCGCATCTAACATAACATTTTGTGTTTATATAATATATGTGTGTATATAGATTATATGTGTGTTTGTGTGTCTGTGAACACACACACACATATATATACAGTAATAATATTTATACACACATATATTATATAAACAGAAACTTTTATGTTAGATGCGATTAATCACGATTAATCGATTTGACTGCACTAATTCTATAACATTCATTGAGGCATAGATCTATCAGTGGCGTGATTAATCTTCGGTAAATTAGCTGAAAGGAAATCACTAAAGGTTTTCTTGAAGGGGTAGTTCACCCAAAAATAAAAATTCTCTCTTCGTTTACTCATGTCATTCCAAACCCATGAAGCTTTTGAAACACAAATGGAAGATATTTTTAATTAAACCTGAGAGATTTGTGTCCCTCCATTAAAAGTCAACTACAACAAAACATCGTAAAAGTTACCCATATAAATTGAGAGGTCTAACCCAAGTCTTCTGAATAGATTTAATTTAGGCTTTTACATAGAACATCATATATAGTAAACGGGAAGCTCATCCGTACTTGCATGACAAGTGAGAATCATTTGTTCTCATGCATCAAGTAAACATGTTCGAGCTTCATTTAATATACTTGGTTGTTGTGAACTCACAAGTTATTGTTGGAATATATATATATATATATACAGTAGGCCTATATATATATATATATATATTTATATATATATTCCAACAAGATTTTGTGTTCAACAAAAACAAGTTCAACAAAAATCAATAGGGCTGTCAAAGTGATTCAAATTTTAAATCTAATTAATTACACAATGTGGTGGGGATTAATTAATGGCAAATTAATTGCACATCAAATTTGGCAGAGAAATTACCCCCAAAAGATAATTTTAAGTCGTTATTGTGTTAAATGAGAAAAGCATAAAAAAAAAAAAAAAAAAAAAACTTTAAATTTTTTTATTCAACATAGAATTTATTACACATAAACTTTTTAGGCTTCCACGGCAATGCGCGTGAGTAAATGATGACAGTTTTTTTGGATGAACTATAACTTTGATAGGATTTTTATTAATATGGAAATATGATTTTTTTTTATTATGAAATGATGCTCTAAATAAGAATCTAAAACTAGTAGCCTAATTGTCTAAACTCCATTGTCATTGAGTCTTTCATTTTATTATATTTGTTCAAATGGCTGATTCATTCAGGAATGAAGTAAATGGCTCTCTTTATGAATAGGCCATTGAATCATTGGTTCCCCGATTCATTCATTTAGAAACACTGCTGTGTTGCTCAGAGAAGCACAGTCGTTCTGCTATGGCTTTATGTGTAAAAAAACAAAAAAACAGACAAAATTTTGTCTAAAATATATCACAATTTTAACTACTTATTTATTTAACTGTTGTAGTATAAAATCAGTATCATATTTGCACCCGTGCTATTCGGGGGAAAACAGTAGGCCTACTGGTATGATATTGCACTCGTTACTTGTGTGGTGTTTGCTTTTATATGATATGAATATGAGACAAAAAGTTCTACAAGGGCATTTTTGCTCCGATATCTTGAATTTTCTATGCATTCTACATCAGGCAGTGAGTTGTTGCCCTGCTTCATGTTCGTCACCATCAACTGTATGAAATGTAAGATGCGTTAATAATTTGTGTCAATGGGGTCCAAAACAACACTGAATGCCAAAATATGAACTTTAACTTCAGAAATTAAAATATGAACTCAAACACTTCTTATAAAATATCATTTTTTGTAAAGACCAAACAATCTCGGCTATTACTTTTTAACTACAAATTACCTTTATAGCGTCATAATATTGCTGTACTGTATGTCAACAATGTCTAATCTGATTCTATATTTATTTCTCAAGAAATTTTTTGAGAAAGATCTAAGAAAAAGTGAACACATTCATGACAATTAACACAATTAAATTAATTTATAAAGCACATTTAAAACAACCTTGGTTGGAAAAATAAGAGCAAAAAACACAAACAACACTTACAGAGAATGTAGGCTACTCCCAAAAAAGTGACTAAAACACTCATTCTGGTCATCAAAAATGAGAAAACTGACAAGATATATTCAAAAGCTGATAATTTCTCGCAAGTCTTTAATAAAGTCCACGATATTCTGCCTCACTGATGAAAAACCTGTTTGTTGTGTTTGTAGCACTAGTCTATGACTGTAACTGTTCAGCTGCATTCCTGCTGTGTTTGCCAGTCATAGATGCCACTGGGCTTTTTTATTTGTGTGTGTGTGAGTGTGTGTGTGTGTGCGTGTGTGTGTGTGTGTGTGTGTGTGTGTGTGCGCGCGTGTTGTTCTCTTTGGCCTGGCTCCCAGAGCATGAAACATCCAACGGACTCAAACAGGGCACTCCTGAGGGAACTAGCTGTCTTCCCCCAAATAATAATGGGATTGGGCCGCGTCAGAGAGACGGGAGAGGGAAAAAGAGAAGCTTTATTCAGCACAGAGGCTGAGGCACCGTGACGTGCTCGCGTGGTTCCTCGTGTGTCCTTGTCCTCTCTGTCCCCACATGTGTGTTGTTTTCGTATGGTGTAAGTGGTCTGTTCTTATGTATATGTGGGTGTGGTGGCCATGTTCGGAATGGAGTTGTAGCTTCTCACTTAATGAATATGTATAGGTACTAGGCAAACAGCCTACAACTTTTAAAAAATATTGGAAGTGGAAGAACAGGAATTATGCAAAATAAGAATGGCATGAAGTAGAATAGTGTCCATGACATTTTCCCCCCAAAATATTTGAGAAATTTAGTTCAAAAATGTATCACTGTACTCTTTGCATTCATGTTGGTTTTATATGGTGGATATTAGTTGCAGCTATGTATGAATTGCATTTTAAATAAATTACTAGATATGACAAAAAAAATTGGCTGTCATTAATTACCCTCATGTCTTTCCAAACCCATAAGACTTTTGTTCGTCTTCGGAACACAAATGAAGATCTTTTTAATGAAATCTGAGAGCTTTCTGTTCCTACATTGACGCAACTACCACTTTGACGCTTCAAAAAGTTCATAAAGGGATTGTAAAACTAATTTAAAAAAATTCAGAAATTTTCTGAAGAGACTTGATTGAAGACTACAGATTGAATTTAGGCTTTCAACTCACACATCAGTTGTGGTTAACGGAAGCTCAAGCATGTTCGCTTGACGCGCAAGAACCAATGAGGTTCATTCTCGTGTTACACAGCACGTTTGAGCTTCTGCAAGAACCAATGAGGTTTATTCTCATGTTACGCAGCACGTTTGAACTTCAGCAAGAACCAATGAGGTTCATTCTCGTGTTACGCATCATGTTTGAGCTTCAGCAAGAACCAATGAGGTTCATTCTCGTGTTACGCAGCACGTTTGAACTTCTGCAAGAACCAATGAGGTTCATTCTCGTGTTACGCAGCACGTTTGAACTTCAGCAAGAACCAATGAGGTTCATTCTCGTGTTACACAGCACGTTTGAACTTCTGCAAGAACCAATGAGGTTCATTCTCGTGTTACACAGCACGTTTGAACTTCTGCAAGAACCAATGAGGTTCATTCTCATGTTACGCATCACGTTTGAGCTTCAGCAAGAGCCAATGAGGTTCATTCTCGTGTTACGCAGCACGTTTGAACTTCTGCAAGAACCAATGAGGTTCATTCTCGTGTTACGCATCACGTTTGAGCTTCAGCAAGAGCCAATGAGGTTCATTCTCGTGTTACACAGCACGTTTGAACTTCTGCAAGAACCAATGAGGTTCATTCTCGTGTTACGCAGCACGTTTGAACTTCAGCAAGAGCCAATGAGGTTCATTCTCGTGTTACGCATCACGTTTGAGCTTCAGCAAGAGCCAATGAGGTTCATTCTCGTGTTACGCAGCACGTTTGAACTTCTGCAAGAACCAATGAGGTTCATTCTCGTGTTACGCATCACGTTTGAGCTTCAGCAAGAGCCAATGAGGTTCATTCTCGTGTTACA